ATGCAAGTATTGCACAATGACCGGACATTTCGTACGGACCTGTCCGAGACTTAACCACGATATTATGAGGCAAAGATGCAGCAGGTCCCTTAAGGGTGAAATTTTTGCGCCTCAGGGAGAGCGTATAAACTGAAATTCGCCAGGAGGCATGCGGCGTGCCGTCATCATCCTGAATAATCTGGATATAGCTGTCGTAGAAGCTGAACCGGTAGCTAACATTGTTTGGGACCAACCGAGGGGACGCGGACCGCAAGTCAATTTCATCTCAGAAGGTAATGGACAGGATAGGGTGAACATCACCACCCGGCGGGCAGGGGCAGAGAAGAAACTTATTAGAGATATGGTAATGGAAGAAGTCGCGGGGACTAGCGCGGATCAAGGTGAAACTGAGACCGGGGAACAGGAGAAGGTTTTTGGAAAGACAAGGAAAGAGGAGTCGATAGACAAAGCCGTGGCGGCAAAGAAAAAGTTCAGTTACCAAATCCCAATCTTGACCTTGCCAGAAATCGATGATACTCTGAGCAAACTGCTAGGTACCATAGTATCTATATCCTTTCAGACCATGTTGCAGGCAAGCCCAAGATTGCTTAAAGGACTCAGGCAATTACTAACGCACCGACGCGTAGAGGTAGAGGAGGCCCCAGAACCACAGGAGCAGGAAACGGAAGAGGCTGAGGTACCACAAGGGGTCTCCAACCTCCAGAGGATCCCAGGGGATCTGGAGGATCTGGAAAACATCTTTGCTGACATCCGCCTAAGCCTACCGGACCGAGAGGGTGGTGAAGTCATGAGGGCACCACCCGGGACGAAGCTTAGCTTCCATGCACTGCTCGTAGGAAAGCTAAGAGTCCAGATCGGAACCCACCACACGGATGCATTAGTGAATGGTGGTGCTGAAATTACCCTCATACGACGAGATTTCACAACAATTACGGGCTGCACCGTAAGCAAAGGAGTAACGGGGAGTATCCGGGGAGCCAGCGAGGAGATTCCCTTCACAGGGTATGTTACGAAATGCGCAGTCAGGGTGGGGATCAGGGAATCAATCTGGTCCTTCCAGCGGATGACCGTGATGGAAGTAATGGACCATGACATAATTCTTGGAACGCCATAGTGCGCCTATGTAGAAATGATAGGTATGCATCTGCATGATGGCACATACATGGTGGATATAGAGGACCCCGTGACCGGCCGCGGAAAACTCCTCCGACTCCTTGGGACCGGTGGGGATCCCCCGAAGGGCAAATTGGCAACCTGGTCGCCAACGTTCGAGGATAGCGCGCGAAAGGGGGCATTCGCACGGATGGAAGGTATGAGGGAAAGAGTAGAGATCATGATTGAGGAGGCTTTTAGTAAGAAGGAGTGGATCAAGATGGGTCTGCCCCTGAAGAAAAGGAGGCAAGAGGATGAGGTGCTAGGGGTTATGGTGGCAGAGAAGGAGGCGGAAGTCGAGCTTGGGGCCAACCTGCCCAAATCAAAGGAAGACCGGAAGGAAACGTCGGAGGTAGTACTTGAAATTCCAAACTTGTTACAGCTCGTTAAGGCTATTAGGTACCACAAAGTGGAGTGGACCTAGCGGCGCTTGCCAAATTCGAAGATGAGGTCCGAAAAGGTTATTGCCTGAATGAGAAGTTAGTCAGTGTCCAACCCCGCATTATGGAGGTAGCGAGGCCAATCCCGACCGTTCATTTTTTAGGAGAACGATCCCAGAAGGGAGTGTGCGAAAGTACAAACTCGTAGGGAAGAAAGCCAAGCCAGTCTCAATCCTAGTAGAAACATCAAGGGAAGGGGTCATGGAAACGGAGGAAGAAATTCTGCGGATAATAAGGGAGAGGCGAGCAGCGGAAGGGCACCGGATACCTGATGAGATAACGGATACCATGAAGATAGGGGTGGAAGGGTTCCTAACAGCAGAAGAGACTCAATTGATAAGGAGGGTGTGCCAGAAATTTCACTTAGCCTTCGCCTTCAATGACCACCAGAAAGGTCGATTGGATGCGAAGCTAATTTCCCCCGTTAGGATCCACACGGTGGAAAACGAATGCTGGAATGACAAGGGGTCCGCCTACGAGTTCGGAATAGCTGCGGAAGTCACTGAATTGCTCAGAGCCAAGATATATTCGTTCGTGGCCGAACCCCCCGCATCCCCCTATGCGAACAAGTGGTTCGTTTTTCGGAAGCCCAACAAATCGCTCAGATGGATCCAGGACTTGCAGAAGCTGAATGCGGTTACGATCCGGGATGCGGGATCACTTCCACGGACCGACCTACTGGCAGAGTCTCACGCCGGACGAAACATTTACTCCCTTATAGATCTATATTCAGGATATGACCAACTACCGCTCGACGCGAGGCATAGACCGTACACCGCCATGCACACCCCTGTAGGACAGCTGCAAATGCAAGCGACTCCTATGGGCTTCACAAATGTTGTGGCGGAGGCACATAGGAGGATGCTTGCGGTCGCAGGGGACATGTTCCCAAAAAAATGCAAGCCCTACATAGATGACAATCCCATAAAAGGCGCGCAGAACAAGGATGAGACAGAGGTCCAGCCGGGCATACGAAAGTTTGTCTGGGATCATCTACAGGATATCAAGGATTTGCTCCAACGATTCCTGGTATATAATATCACCTCAAGCGGACCTAAGAGCATCCTAGCGGTCCTAGAAGTGACCATACTGGGGTTTCGCTGTGGGGCCTATGGAAAGAAACCGGACCCGGCAAAGACGGATAAGATCTCTCAATGGTCAACGCCCCTGCGCACCACAACGGAAGTACGAGCCTTCCTAGGGGTGGTTGGATTCTGGAGGATCTTTATCAAAGGCTTCGCAAAAATAGCCGACCCTATCTGAGCAATGATTAGGGAAGGAGGGACTATGGAATGGACCGAGGATAGGGAAGCAGCAGTCCAGACCCTCAAAGACATCCTGTCTTCTGATCAAGTTACCTTAGCAGCACCCTGCTTCAATAATGAAGTAGGACGACCCTTTGTCTTGGAAACAGATGGAGGACCATTGGCAGGGTTGTCGAGCCCCGGCCCCGGGGCCCCGGCGGGGTTCCGGGGTTCCGGGGGTGGGCACCCCCAACCCCGGCTCCAGACCCCCCCGCAAAAAAAAAAAATTCAAAAAAAAAAAAAAAATTCAAAAAAATAAAATAAAATAGTGGGGGGTGCGCAGCGAAAGCGCGCACCACATGGGCTAAA